GCTGTCAGCAGTTTGGATGCTATCTTGGGCATACTGTGCACAAGGCATATCGGACTGAAGTCAAACACAGCACTCGCTTCCGGGGACTTAGGTATAAGTGTGATCAAAGCTTGGTTAAGCCTTCCAAACCCCCTCCGTTGCCAAGGAAAAGTTTATGGACCGCCGCAACAATATCCTCCTTGATTATCTCCCAAGCCTTTTGGAAGAATAGGCCAATGAATCCGTCCGGCCCAGGTGCCTTGTCCGAAGGCAACTCCTTGATTACCCCCCAAATCTCGTCTTTTGAGAACACATGATCTTGCTTGGAAAGATCGATACGCGTGACGCCCAGTCCCTCCAGATCCAGTGTGAAGTCTAGGGCACTATCCTTACCGAGCAACTCTTTATATGCATTGTAGAACGCTTCCTCCTTGCCATTTTGATCCGTGATGATGTGTCCGTCCATGGTCAAGGAGGGTATGTAGTTTTTCATTTGTCTTCCATTTGCGACCAAGTGAAACAGCTGCGTGTTGGCGTCTCCTTCTTGCAGCCAAGAGATTCTCGATCTCTGCCTCGGAATGGTCCTCTCAAGGGAGGTCAGCCCCAGCACAAGCTTTTTAAGCATCCTTCTAAGCCATCTCTCCTCCTCTGTTAGCACTCGACTTTCCTGAGCATAGTCAAACCGCAAGATGACTATGTTGGCGATAGCAATTTGCAGTTTTATGTTGCCTATCTCCTTTTGTCCCCATGTTGCAAGAGCTCGGGCTGTATTATGGAGCATAATGTCAAGTCGCATGAAGGGATCTGTGATATCCGGGTCACAGACCCAAGCCTCCTTGACAACATCCAAGAAACCGTCCATCTTGACCCAAAATTTCTCAAAACGAAATCTCCTCCTGACATGCATGCGCTCATGTAGCGCAAGGTGAAGCGGGCAGTGATCAGAGTACTCAGTAGATAGCGCTTGCAGCAAGCAATCCGGGTGGTCAAGCTCCCAGTCGACGGAAACAAAGGCACGGTCAACCTTTGTGAGCATGGGCGTTTCCGTTTTGTTGCACCACGTGTACTTTCGTCCATGCAGAAAGAGCTCCTTGAGCGCGTTATCATCCACGAAACGCTTGAACTTCCCCATCATTCTCCTGTCCAAGTTGGAGTTGCTTTTGTCTGCCGCGTATAGGATAAGGTTAAAGTATCCCATAACTAGCCAAGGCCCTGGGCATAGCGATCTACGCTCCGAAAGCTCATTCAAGAAATTAATCTTGTGCTCATCCTCCTGCGGTCCGTATACTACTGTTAGCCACCATGGCACTCCCTCCATGGGCGAGACATACCCAGTGATACTATGGGAGTCATTGACAAAATTTGTCAAGCGTACCCGCGTGGTGTCCCAAGCCATAAAAATACCCCCTCTAGTATCCAACGCCGACAAATATGTGAAACCATCATAAGTCGGTCCCATGCATTGCAAGATTACAAAAGTGTCCACCACCTCTAACTTAGTTTCTAAGATACATACAATTGCCGCACGGACAGAGTCCATGAACCCTCTAAGCGCCTTCCTTTTGGCCGGATTGTTAAGCCCTCAAACATTCCAGCACACTAACTCCAGGGTGTTGAACGACATCTAAAAAGACGTCTCCAACACCACCGGTGCAATCGCACCTAATGTGCCAAGATCGGCTCAGCCATCCCTGCCTTCTCCGCAAGATTGAGCGGAATCGCCTTCCCGAAGATCGCTGCTATGGCTCTCAACTGTGGCTCCTGAAGAGGTGAGTCAAACACCGTTAGCAGCTGACCTAGCGCATTCTCCGAGACCGCCAGATCATCACAATCAAATCCCAAGGTTTTGAGTAGAACTGTTTCAGCAGCTGAAGCTTTCGTCTTCCTTGTACCACCGACACAAACGGATCGGGTTGCACGGCGTGGCGTGAATGGGTACTGCCCTGTTTTGACCCCACGAAGCCCTTCAAACTCCTTGAGAAGCGGCGGTGCTAGCTTTTTGAGGAGCCCAGCAAAAAGCCTTGATATTACCTAGGGCCGCCATCTCCTTGGCAGTTAAGCGCTCCTCTTGGTGTACAGATGCCATTGCACCAGCTTCCGGTACGCATCCGCTATGCAGCCGCTCCTGCATGCATGTAGCTCTCGTGGTCACATCAGCCTCCACCACATCCGCCTCGGGCTCCTGGACAGTGGGACCCAGCTCTGGCGTATCTTCTGCTGATCGTGCCATCTCCTCTGTTATCGCTAGCTACAGTACATCCGAAACTGGGGTCCACCCATCTGCGGCTTTGTCTGGCAAAAGCACCAGCGAGGCATCAGGCTGCATAGCCTCCTCTTCTATTCCGGCATGGTATTGGGTGGTGGTGGCCCCCGCAGGACATCCCATCGCCGGACGCGCCGATTCCTCTGTCCCGTCATCCATGCTGGAATTGATCGGGATTAGCTCCACCACTGGCACGACCAGGTTGGCCTCGCCCAATGTCTCTTTCTCAACTGCCTCGCCCAGAGATTTGTCCGCTTCCTCGGGATCGGAAGGAAACACGTTCTCGACTGCCGTCCCGAGTTTCCTGCACCCACATTAGCTACCTTATTGGCTCCGGTCCTTATCTCTTCCTGGTCAAAAGCGGTCTGCCCCTGCCCCGGCACAACGATTGGCACCGGATCAGCCACCATAGCTGTGTGGCCTGGCCCAGCATCCAAACTTCTCCCCGGATCTTCTGTGGCCAGCTGCGGCTGCTGCACTGCAGGAGCACGAGCATCTGTGGCCACATCCTCCTGACCCAAGCCCGCCGCAGTCACCATGGAGCTGGCCCCGAGCGCGCATGTCGTCGCCACCGCGCCAGAATCCATCGGCGGGATCCTCCAAGCCGATGGCCCAATATGGCCGAGCAAAGCCTGTTTGTACGAGTGGCCCAGCGCACCACCAGCCGGTGCCCCGCCACGGTGATCACAGACGCCCCTTGTCCATAGCAGGACACGCCACTAACCCTGACCGGAGTAACCTCTGGAGTCCTCCGACAATCCACTTTGTCCGCTCCCATCTGAGCTAGGCGGTCTCAACCAGCGCTCCGGACCCTCATGGCCTCGAATTCTCCCAATGTGGATGATGGTTCTATACTCCAGCAATGCCCGGGACGTAGGCATTCGTGCGCCCGGTCCTGCATTCATCTCCGGCTCCGACACCCATAGGCGCTTGTCCACCGGCACCTCCTCCGGGTCCACACACCAAGCTCGCAACTTGAAGAGGGAAAGATCTTCTATGTTCTTTGTTTCTGGCGCCAAACTCTATATCAAACAAGCCGAGCCAAGCAGCTCCGCCGTTGTCTCAATCGTCCACGCATGAGAAGGAACTCCCTCGATCATCAGATCAACTTGTGACCGCATAACCCTGGTGACAGCCTGCGCTTGCTTGAGCCACGGTTTGACATATAGCTTGAAGAAGCCATGCTCGACAGTGCCTGCCGCAAGTGCCCTGTTGCGAACACCACAAGGAAGTCCTCCGGATGGAACTTGTGAACCGAGAACCTATGGCGGGGAATGCGCAGCTCCGTGGAAATAGCCTCAGCCGCCTCCTAGCACGACACCGCCGATCTGGTGCCGCCCACATACGCCACCACTGCCAAGCGAAGCCGCATCTCAAGATCGTCAATCTCCTGCGTCCGGCGGAGCATGCAAACGCCACCAGTAGCCGCGGCTGCAGCTGCTGTTGCATGCACGAACCCCACAGGTGCGGTGTCCACCGGGACTAGCGAGGACCTCTCCAGCGGAGCGGTCAAGCAGATTGGCTTCACCGGCTCTTAAATGACTTGCCAGTTATTGAAAAACCTGTACCGGATATTCTTATGAAATGCGACAATCAAACTGCGATCTGAGCCGTGGAAGTTTAGCCGAGCAAAGTTCTATCTGCCACGGTCCCAACCTGGACAGGGAGATCATGATCTGACGGCGCCAGGAGAGCCCACGTATAGCTGAAAGGGGTGCCACTTGTCCAAATCTTGACCGCGAGATCACGATTGGCGGCGTCTAGAGAGCCCACGTATTACGGAACTACGTCTGGTTGGTTGGCGGTTGCCTTCACCGAATGACAACACCTCCTCCCCCCTCACGCCACCACCGCCGCCGCCGCCGCGCTCGCTCGCCGGATTCCGCTGCATTTTTTTCCCGCCCGAGCCCTCCTCGCCCCTTCCCACAGTCTCACTGCTGCGGCAAGCTCCTTCTTGTTCCAAATTTCGCCACGACGAGCTGACATCGGCGAGTGACCCCACCCGCGGGCCATGGCGTCGCTGGCTTCTCTGTCCATCTACACCGTGCCGGGGCGCGCCGGCCGTGCGGAATCCGTTCACACCCCTCGCCGGCGGCGTATGGCGGTGGTGCGGGCGAAGGTGCGCGAGATCTTCATGCCTGCGCTGAGCTCGACGATGACGGAGGGCAAGATCGTCTCCTGGACGACCGCCGAGGGAGACCGCGTCTCCAAGGGCGACACCGTGGTGGTCGTCGAGTCCGACAAGGCAGGCATGGATGTGGAGACCTTCCACGACGGCATCATCGCCGCCGTCCTCGTCCCGGCCGGTGGGACTGCCCTCGTCGGCGCCCCCATCGCCCTCCTCGCCGAGTCAGAGGAGGATGTCGCCCTCGCTCAGGCCCGTGCCCAGGCCCTATACAAGGCCTAGGGCGAAGAAACCCCTCCTCCCCATGCTGCCGCCACGGCTCCACCTACCGTGGCCCCTGCTCCGGCACCAGTGGCCGCGCCGACGAATGGCATCGCTACGCCTCATGCCAAGAAGCTCGCGAAGCAGCACAGAGTGGACATCTCCAATGTTGTCGGCACAGGGCTAAACGGCCGCATCACGGCGGCTGACGTTGAGGCAGCTGCTGGTATCCAGTCAAAGCCAAAGGCCGCTCCACCTCCACCTCCTGCAGCTCGCTCTGCGCCTCCGGCTGGCACACCATTAGTAACTGCAGTCAGACAACCAGGAGTGCTTCCTCCAGTGCCTGGTGCGACTGTGGTGCCATTCACATCGATGCAATCGGCGGTGAGCAGGAACATGGTGGAGAGCTTGTCAGTGCCAACGTTCCGAGTTGGGTATGCCATCAAGACTGATAAGCTCGATGCACTTTATGAGAAGGTATAGTTGCGATGAATCTTGGACAAAATATTGAATTGCATAGCTAGATTCTTGAGATACTGCTCAGGTTTTTATGTGTGTAGTGACAATTTGATTAAAATGGGTTGTGCAGGTTAAGTTGAAAGGGGTTACAAAAACATTGTTGCTGGTGAAAGCGGCAGGCATGGCACTTGCTCAGCACCCAGTTGTGAATGCCAGCTGCAGGGATGGAAAGAGCTTCAGTTACAACAGTAGTATCAACATTGCGGTGGCGGTTGCCATCGAGGGCGGCCTTCTTACACCTGTATTAGAGGATGTTGATAAGGTACTGCAATGGCTGTCTTCTCTATTACAAAATGCAACATTTTAGCATGTGAGTACATCAGCTGAAAAACTCAAAAATAAAAATTAACATGGCAGTTGGATATATATATCTATCTGCTCGCGCAAAAATGGAGAGCCCTGCTCAAGAAGACGCGTATGAAGCAGCTCCAACCAAATGAATACAACTCAGGTAGGGAACATGTGTCGTGTTTGACATGTATTTTCACTGGAACTGTGCTTACATGGAGATCTGCTGATGTATAGGGACGTTTTCGCTGTCCAATCTTGGTATGTTTGGGGTAGACAGATTTGATGCAATCCTTCCACCTGGTCAGGTGAGTTATTTTCCTGATCTCTGCTCAGTGAATATGAAATGCAAATAGAATTGCATCTGTGCAACATAAGAAGAAGTAACAATTAAGAACCACTGAATGTAAACTGCTCGATGCAGGGGGCTATCATGGCTGTTGGAGCATCGAGACCTACTGTTATTGCTGACAAGGATGGTTTTTTCAGTATCAAGAACGAAATGCTGGTTAGTTTGCTTTTCAGTGTGTAATTTGGTATATCAAAGCTGACTGTTTAGTAATATATCCTTACGCATTCAACAGATATTAATGCGTGTGAACCCCTAGCACATGTTGCGGAAGTATACTATCATATATAGTTTGCGTAGGTCCTCCTGATGCTATAATCATATAATTTGCGAGCCGATAAGCATGCAAACTTGGTTGATTACATAAGAGGTTCGTAGTGATGTAGACTAATTTCAGGTTCATGCTACAGCTAAGTATGGCTGCAGGATGTTCTTTTTACCTGAGCTGGTTTCTGAAACAATCTGGTAAAGTTTGGTTTGGTTCTATAACTGCAAATACGTTTTAGTTTGTGACATAACTATTTTAATTTTGGTATGATATCATATCAGTAGAAATGCTTTGTGGCAGTTATCAATTGATACTGTTTGTCTCCTGATTCTTTCCAGACTGTACATTCTAAGTGCTAACATACAAATGGTGTGTTTATTCTAAAATTTTCATATGATCATATTTCATAGTATTATACCATACAGCCGTTAGACCTTTAATCCTTCAGTTGCAACACCACGTTTATAGAATTAACAAAATCCTATTAAAATGCAGCTCATTAGCCTAACTAAGTTGCTCATAACCTTTTCAGGTCAATGTTACTGCTGATCACAGGATTATATATGGCGCTGACTTGGCAGTATTTGTGCAAACATTTGCAAAGATTGTCGAGGACCCTGAGAGCTTAACACTGTAGAAGAGAAGTTCCTCGGAAGTGTGCCCATGATTTATCTGGTTCCAATTGGAACATGATAGGAATAATGTTATGGAGAATTCGCGAAGGCATTAAAATTGTAGAATAGCCACAGATAATTCTGTATACTCATCTTTTTTGGATGTAGATGCCCTGATTCAGCAAGCCATGAACAATTCTACTCTTTGGGGTGTTAATAATAATGCAAAAGATCTTTACATTCAGCAAGCCATGAACAATTCTGTATACTCAGCTGAAGGCGCCCCAGACGCTCACGCTTCCGGTCGATCAGGTGGCTCTCCAGTTCTGCCAATTTTGTGTCAGATAACACAGAGCAACACACGCAGCAACTTTGAGAGGTCTGTGGAAAGAGGAGGACGTACTACGTACCTTGCATCTGGAGCAGCGCCCTCCTGATCTTCTGGTAGCACCCGTTGCAGTCTATGCTCATCCTCAGGGTCATGCGACAGAGTAAGAGAGGTGCACCACATCACTGCTTGCTGCTGCTGCTGCTGGCTCCCAAGATGTTCATATGCACATACCCTGTAGTCCATGAAGACAACGAGGCTGCTCTTCCTCGGCGGCGGTGGAGGCGACTGACCGGAAAAAGCTTCGGGTTCCGGGGAACCAAAGTTGCGAGGAAAGCAAGGAACCTTAGGTGCAGAAAGTGGGGAATTAGCGCTGCTGAAGTGCCTCTTTTTATGGCCACTCGCTTCTTCGTTTCCTCGTGGGCGGGCTCGACGTGCGCTGTCAGAATCAGATTCTGCTTCCCAGATTGTTCCTTTGCTATCTGTTCTTCGGATCTTTTATCAGTTGCTGGTAGGACCTGCAAACATGCTCTCGGTATCTATTTTATAAGTTTGGAGAGGCAAAAAGTTCTGCATGCGAGATACCTGTAGCCTGTAGGCTTGTGGAAGATATATTCCTTCAGGCTCTACCTTGTACTACTTGATCACACTTCACCTTTACGCCTCAGACCAGTCCCAGAGGTTAAAAAAGAGATGAAAAATCTGGAGAAATCATGGTGAAAAGACGAACGAAGATGACGGGTAGATTTGTCAGCGAGAACAACCTAGGGAAAGGTTAGGCAAAATCTGTGTGAACATGTCCAAGCTTTTTTCTAGTTTTCCATGGCATCAATCTTGACTCTTCCAGCCTTGTGTGCGCTGACAATCCGAGTTCATCTTTACAAACGGAAACGAGGATCATCATGCGCTGATGATGGTGGAAAGTTGCAGGCCACCGATTATCTAGCCAGCGAGTTTGACCCTGCCTTTCACCAGGAGATCATACAGTGAGGAAAGCAGCGACCCACTGAAGTGACACTAGAATTTGGTGTCCAGACAGTGAGAACTGCTCACAACCCGCAGAATGTTTGGGCAGGATCAGATTCCTGGGCCAGTTTGGGGGGCTGAACCACCAAGCCAACAACCTGCATGGCTTTCTCCTTTGAATGCATGATGATACACCGCTTGGTGTATTCCAGGAAGATAGAAAAAAAAAGGGAATTTCTGACAAGTAGACAGACACCAAACATGAGGAGCAAAACAGACAACGAGTATCTCCTTTTATTTGAAGTTCAGAAAGCACAGACAACTCTCTGTCTAGAATGGTAATAAAGATCGAGCACACCCTGATAGGCGAATGCGCGAAATGTTTGAGAAAACGGCGGTTGATGAATGGAAAGTTGAGGCCAGGTTTCATCATATCCTGCAACCAGCTTCAGTCATCCATGGTCAGGTCGATCACCTCCGATTCGTCCACAGCGACGACAGGAGCCTCGCCATTGGTCACGCATATCTCTTCCATGGGCACTGGATTCACCAGCGCAGCGCCTCCACTGGAGGCAGAGCCACTGGTGCCTCCCTGGCTGCTGCCCTCCGAAGACCCCATTTTCTTTGCGCCAGAAGATTTTCTAGCCTTGACCTTGCGTTCAGCGCCATTCAGGCCGTCAAAGTTTGTAGGATCAACCCGGCACCGCTTGGCATCAGCTGAGCTGCCGCCGTGGGACATGCCATCTCCCTCCGCCGCGACTGGTTTTGCAGCTTCATCAGCAGGACCCTTGATCTTTTTGGCCTGGTCCTCCAGCCTTTTTTCCTCGAAAGAGTAGCCCTGAGCCAGGAACCTCTTCCGTGGAGGAGCAGAATTTGCAGGTTCATCGTCACCTTCCTCCAGAGGCTGCACCAGTCCTGCCGTTGGCGCGGCCAGCTCTGCGGCGGCCGCCGTCTGGCTAGACTGCTCACCCATCTCCTGAGCCTTGTGTTCCGAAGAGCTCCCACCGCCCTTCTTCATTGCAGATTGCTCGACGCCCTTCTGCTTCTTCAGGTCAAGGGTTATCTTGGCCGCAACATCTTTTCTTGCATCTAGAGGCAGCCATTGCTCCTCACGCCACTCAAATGACTTCCGCAGACACTCCACTTGGAGCTCTACAAGTCTCCCCTCCCCTGGAAATTTTGGCAAGCATGCAATGCATCAGGAAAAGCTCCAGTCCAGTGTTCTAAGTACCAACCGAATATATACTACTCCCTCCGTCCCTAAATAAGTGTCTTGAGCTTTGGACAAATTTGTACTAGAGCTAGTATAAAGTTAAGGGCAACATATCATGTGCATCCGAGGGAGTTGTATATCCATGCATCCGTTTGGCCTCGACCATCTGATCCAAATCGCATGGGCAGCATCGAAACTACAATTATTTTGCGTTTACACGCCCGCCTGCACACCTAAGTCAATGTAATTTATCAGTAACCCCCCTAACGCTTATTCTCACTTGATAGATATAGAAGGCATGCAGATCAGATCAGGATGTGCGCCGGTGGCGACTACAAAACGCGGCGGGCTTGCGTGCGATCACAAACGTGGAGAACATGTGGGCGGCGACGACACAACACGGCAGGCCTCGGCGGCGACAGATCAGTCGATGCAGTCTTCGATTCTAACTTATAGACATCAGCAGCTTCATCTCTGGTTCTGATCGAGAGACAACCAGACGACGACTAAGTCTCACATATTCAATGCCCTTGAGAACCATACTGGCATACAGGCAAGGGAACTCACACAGTTTTCGTGAACAGGCACGACTGGCTGGAATCACAATTTAACTAATGCTGGATCTGATTAGCTATGGATAGCACGTGCAGTTTTTTTTTTTGAAAAGGGGGGAAAACCCCGGCCTCTGCATCAGTACGATGCATACGGCCCTCTTATTATCAAAATAAAGTAGTGCCAACATGGTTCCAAAGGTCTTCAAAAGCCATAAAAAGCAGAAAAAGCTCACACAGAGCCAAAAGAGGCTAAAAACATCAACTAGCCAAATCAAGATGCCACAACCGGCTGGGTAAACTAGATAGGAATACTAAATGCCTATCCTATTACATGACCGCCATCCAAACCGGTTGAAGATATCCCGAGCTACCATCTCCCAGCGGACAGACCCAGTAACCAAATGCTCCCTGGCCTCCGTCTGGGTGAGTAGCGACCACGAACGGATCAGTGCCGTAGTCCGGAATAAAACCTGCAAAAAATGTATACATGATATTCTGTTAAAGACCAAATCGTTTCTGCAATTCCAGATAGTCCACAGCAAAGCACAAACCCCAACCCGAATATGTCTCGCTAAGTTAGGCTCAATCCCATTAAGCCATGTCCCAAATAACGCATTAACAGAATTCGGGGGTTTGATATTGAAAGCAATGTGGACCGTCTGCCAAAGTACCTTGGCCAGCGGGCAATCAAAAAAGAGGTGTTTAATAGTCTCATCCCGATCGCAGAAACTACACCTAGTAGGTCCTGTCCAATTACGCTTCATCAAGTTATCCTTAGTTAAAATTACTTGTTTATGGACAAACCACATAAACACTTTTATTTTCAAAGGAACTTTGACATCCCAAACATGTTTGGACGTAGGAATGGAGTTCGAATTAATAACATCAATATACATTGATTTAACCGTGAATGCTCCAGACTTAGTCAACTTCCAGCGTAATTCATCGGGTTGTTGAGAAAGCTGGACGTCCATCAGTCTCCTAACTAGACGGAGCCATTCTTCCCAACGATTGCCCGCTAGCACTCGTCTGAACTGAATATTAAGGGGGGTAGATTGAAAGACCGAAGCAACGAACACCTCACGTCGTTGAACAATGCGGTACAAAGAGGGATATTGGATGGCCAAGGGTGTGTCACCGAGCCAAGTATCTTCCCAGAAACGTGTACTCGTGCCGTTTCCAACAACAAACTTTGTCCTATTAAACAATGCCTGCTTGACCTTCATGAGACCCTTCCAGAAGGGCGAGTCGGTCGGCCTTACAGAGACCTGTGCCAAAGTTTTTGACTGGAGGTACTTGCCGCGAAGGATCTGTGCCCACATAGCATCATTCTCCGACGAAAGCTTCCACAGCCACTTGCTAAGAAGGCATTTATTCTTAATTTCGAGATTCTCAATACCTAGACCCCCTTGGTCTTTCGGTCTACAGATGATATCCCACTTAGCAAGCCTATATTTTCTTTTAAGCTCATCACCCTTCCAAAAGAACCGCGATCTATAGAAGTCCAGTCTCTTCCTAACACCAACTGGTACCTCAAAGAAAGAAAGAAGAAACATCGGCATACTCGTGAGCACCGAATTAATTAGGATTAATCGGCCTCCATATGACATGAGCTTGCCCTTCCAGCAACTCATTTTCTTCTCAAATCGGTCCTCGATGCACTTCCATTCTCTGTTTGTTAGCCTACGATGGTGGATAGGAATCCCCAAGTATGAGAATGGTAGCTCTCCCAACTCACATCCAAACAATTGCCTATAAGCATCCTGTTCATCTTTGGCCCTACCAAAACAGAACAGCTCGCTCTTATGAAAGTTTATCTTTAACCCGGTCAATTGTTCAAATAGGCATAACACCAGCTTCATATTTCTTGCCTTAGCCAAGTCATGCTCCATAAAGATGATTGTATCATCAGCGTACTGTAGGATAGAGACACCTCCATCAATAAGATGAGGCACCAATCCA